GATGGGCTTTAGAGACAATAAAGAATAAACTTCACTGAATCTCCCCGTGGTGCCCTTGAGTTACCCTTCAACCTTAGCACCCACTGGCAGGGACAGTGCCCTCTCTGAGCCTTTGCATGGGCTGTTCTACCTACCTGGAATGCCCTTCCCTGCCTTGTCCCCCAGCTTCCTTCTCTCTGATCCTTTGTCCCTTGAATAGTTCTATGGCCACCCTTGTCACCTTGTCTCATAATCTTCTGTCTCTGTCACTCTCCCCCCACCAGCCTGGGAGCCCTTTGAGGGCCCAGACAAGGTCTTGGTGATCTTTGTACCCTAGTGCTTGGTGCTGGCTTGGGAGCATAGTCCCTGCTCACTAAACGCTTGAGAAATCCTCATACAGTTGCAGCAGCTCCCACAAGTTCCTCCCCATGGGCTAGCCCTGGGCTGAGCACCTCACTCACATCATCTCACAGAGGTCAGTGCTGTTATTCCTTTTTTTTTTTTGAGACAGAGTTTCACATTGTTGCCCCCTGATAGAGTATCATGGTATCACAGCTCACAGCAACCTCAAACTCTTGGGCTCAAGCGATTCTCTTGCCTCAGTCCCATGAGTAGCTGGGACTACAGGCATGCCATAACACCTGCCTATTTTTAGAGACGAGGGTCTTGTTCCAGCTCAGGCCGGTCTTGAACCCATGAGCTCAGGCAATCCACCTGCCTCAGCCTCCCAGAGTGCTGGGATTATAAGAGTGAGCTACCGCGCCCGGCTGGTGCTGTTATTCATGGCACCATTTTATAGATGGAGAAACTGAGGCTCAGAGAGGTTAGGAAACTTGCCCAAGGCCACACAGCCGAGACGCGGAGCTGTCAGGCAGCTGTCCTCCTCTATGTTGTCTCCCACTAATCATACACCCCCCCCCACCCCCTCTTTTCTATCATCTGTTCCTCCTTAGGGAGCACTTGGGCTTTCTTTGTGGTGTTTTGATGTAAGTCATGACCCAGTAAATATTCCCTTGTCCTCTGAAAGCTTCTCCTCCTACCCCAAGCAGGATGTGGGTCAGGTTCCCCAGTGACCTCAGCTCCCACATTCTCTTCCAGCTCAGCACCCTTCCTGGGGAGCTGGCCTTGCAGACCACGTACATGCGTGCTCACCAGACCCACATCCTGTGCCAGACAGTGCTGTGGGATGGCCAGGAGGTGGCGCTCAATGGGAGCTTCTCTGGGACCTTCCCCAAGGCTGCCAGAAACCTCGGTCTGCAGGGTGAGTGTCCTCCAAGGGGCTACAAGCAAGGATGGGACATTCGCTTGCTCATTTGCTCAGCAAAACCTCATTGAACACCTGCTCATCCCAGACATGGGGGATCTGTGGGGAAACAAGATGACCCAGGTCTCACCCCTCAAGAGACAGGCTCAAGAAGACATATGTGAACATAATAATGTCAGTCCTGATAATTTCCAAGAGGGGGAAGGGCGGTGAAGTGAGCAGGGTTTGCCTTGAGGGTGCTGGGCTCCTTTAGGCAGGTGGCCTGGAGGCCTCTCAGAGGAGGTGAGATCCGAGCTGATATCTAAATGATGAGAAAGAGCTGTCGAAGGAAAGATCTGGGAGAGGCACGATGGGCAGGAGGAACAGCAGGTACGAAGGCCCTGGGGTAGGAAAAGCCCTAACCCTAAGCCCGGGAAAAGCCTGGGGTAGGAAAAAGCCAGTGAGGCCAGTGTGGCTGGAGTGATGGGAGGAGGTAAGATGAGGGAGGTTGGGGGACCCAGGTCATAAGGAGCTGGGGTTTACCCCAAGTATGACAGACAGAAAGAAGGGGAAAGATGTGGAAGCTGTGGCAACCTTGAGTGTCCCTGGGTAATTCTGGTGCCAGGCTGGCCATGTGGAGGCTGGCAGGGGAGATGAGGGGGGAAGCAGCCCTGACTACAGCAGCCAAGAACGCCAAGGTCCTTTGGGAGCAGATGCCCCTGGAACAGGCTGTCAGCTGTGGCCAGTGCAGCTACACGCGCCGTCCGTCAGTTTCTGCATAAGGAGCCACCTTAGCATAGAGCACAGCCTGACTGCTTGGGGAGAGAGCAGAGACTCCAGCCCAGGGAACAGCTTGCCTGGTGGCTGATGAGTCTTTTCCCCAGAGTCACATTTGTCACATGTGTGCCTTGAAAGGCAGAGGAAGTGGGTAGATCCTCAGCTGAGGTAGTGTGTGTGTATGTGTGGGTACACGTGTGCATGTGTCTGTGCATGTGTGTGTACACGTGTACGCGTGTTTGTGCATGTGTGTATGTGTGTGTACACATGTGCGTGTGTGTGTGCGTGTGTATACACGTGTGCGTGTGCCCATGCATGTGTGTGTGCCCATGCATGTGTATGTGTGTCCATGCCTGTGTGTATGTGTGTCCGTGCATGTGTGTGTGTGTCCGTGCATGTGTATGTGTGTGTACACATGTGCATGTGTGTATATGTGTGTACACATGTGTGTGTGTCTGTACATGTGTCCGTGCATGTGTGCGTGTGTGTATGTGTGTGTACACATGTGCATGTGTGTCCATGCATGTGCGTATGTGTGTCCGTGCATGTGTGCGTGTGTGTACACATGTGCATGTGTGTATATGTGTGTACACATGTGCATGTGTCTGTGCATGCGTCCGTGCATGTGTGCGTGTGTGTATGTGTGTGTACACATGTGCATATGTGTCCTTGCATGTGTGTATGTGTGTCTGTGCATGTGTGTGTGTGTCCGTGCATGTGTGTATGTGTGTCTGTGCATGTGTGTATGTGTCCGTGCATGTGTGCGTGTGTGTATGTGTGTGTACACATGTGCATGTGCGTCCATGCATGTGTGTATGTGTGTCCGTGCATGTGTGCATGTGTCTGTGCATGTGTGCGTGTGTGTACACATGTGCATGTGTGTATATGTGTGTACACATGTGCGTGTGTCTGTACATGTGTCCGTGCATGTGTGTGTGTCCGTGCATGTGTGCATGTGTGTACACATGTGCATGTGTGTATATGTGTGTACACATGTGCGTGTGTCTGTACATGTGTCCGTGCATGTGTGTGTGT